ATGAGTCTTCAATCAATTTTCCTTACAATAAATAATAGCAAGTAATGACTAGAGGCACCAAATTCAGCCAAGGCAGAACACCAAAGCTGCAATGCTGAAAACTGTGCTGCAGAACCAGTCACATCCAGAGCTGGCATCCACCAATAATATGGAAAACTGCCCAGACATGTTCCGACCCCAAAAATGCAGGACAAATCCAGCCTGATTATTTACTGCCCCATCAGTCTACGTTCAGTCTACGTTCAATCTACCAAGTAACAGAAAATCTTTTCAACCAAACTGAACTTATACAGCAATAACCTGTCCATTTATGCTCAAGTTAGGTTCTGTCAAGTCACCCTGCTCCAGACCTCATTGCAGTCTTAATCCAACTATGGAGAAAAGTCAAAGTGAAGAAGTAAAAGTGACTGCCTTCAACATCAAACCAGGGGAGTGGCATCAAAGGTGCTCTAGCATGATTGAAGTCAATATAATGAAGGGGAAAAGTCTCCAATGATTGGAGTCGAATCATGTCAGTCCCAGAACATCTCTGTAAGAGTTTCTCAGAGTCGTGTCGCTGGCCCAACCATCTTTGGGTGCTTCACCAATGACCTTTCCACCATCATAAGGTCAGAAATGGGGATGTTTGCTGATGACTGCAGAGTGTTCAGTATCATCTCCAACTGCTCACATAGTGCAGCAGCCTGTGCCGAACTGCACAAAGGTTTGGATGATGTTCAGTCTTGGGCTGATAAGTTGAAAGTGGCATTCACACTACGGAAATGCCAGGCAGTGACACTCCCAATAAAAGGGAATCAAACTACTTCTCCATGACAGTGAGTTGCATTACCATCACTGAAACCCCAAGCGGCAATGTTGTGGAGGTCACCACAGACCAGAAATACAAACGTACAGCCACAGTCCAAAAGCTGGTCGGTGTCTGGGAATTTGGTACTGAATGCGTCACCTGTCCATATTCCCCACCTGCCTGGATGAGTCCAACTCCAATACACTCAGAAAGCTCAACAACACAGGACAAAGCAGCCCACTCAAACAGCATCCCACCTTAATGCTTCACTTACTCCACCAGCAGCATTCCTCTGCTATTCACTGCTATGCTCCATGAAAGCAAATGGGAAATTTCACCAGCAAAGAAAATTCTATCTAACAGAATTGTTGCAATTCTTACTCCTAATGCTCCGTATACCATGCAGAGACCAGCCTTTTCAGACAATGAAACACAGAATTTAAACAGCTCGCCTCACATGTACAATGGACACAAGCAACGAGGGTCTGATATTTAGTCTGTAAGTACAAACCCATGTTAGTACAAATACTGATGCAGGCTGCACCATTAGTGAGTACTCTAGACCACTTCAGGTTGGCTGAATTCCAAGAATAAAGATTATTGAGAAAGCAGACACATGAATGGCTTGTGCCTTCCGTCTCCTGAAGGTGGAGGTCATCAACTGCACTCCTCACAAACTGACTCTCTGTCTTTTTGCAGGGTATTGGTGGCAAAACATTGACAATTTAAAGCATTGAAGCAACAGTCTGCAATTATCAGTTTTCGTGTAAATATGTGTATTTACATGTGGCCGCTGAGTGATTAAGACTCTGGATTTGGAGCTATGTGGACACGCACATATCACAAATTGAAAGGTTAATGTGGATTTTGTGAACATTCACATGGACTATAACTCTGTTCCTGACTGCCACGAGGTATAAATCCTGCCACTTCGTCACTAACAATACTATGTTTTCAATGGACAACAGTAATTCAAAAAGGCAGCTCACCATCATCTTTTCAGGGTCAACTCGAGATGAGCAATAAGTACCAGTCAGTGACATTCACACGGCCAGAATGCAAAACACAAGCGCATATTGGGAAGGATTTATCGTGTGAGCAAGTTCAGGAAGAATGGAGACATACAGTCTTAGTTCTCTACAAGAGCATATATCGAAGAGCCTGCATGGCAATACGTTGAGGGAGCATGGGGACATGCGAGGCAGTGCATACCTGCTGGTTTCATGGAGCGGGGGAGGGTTGATTTTGCCAAAAGCAACTCTTCCTATATGGCCCTCAGCCAGAACCAAACAGGCTAAAGTGAATCAAAAGTGAAAATCTTCCGTAGGATTTTATTTTACCTTACAGAATCTAAAAAGCATCTGAAATCTTACCTATGATGCCAGAGAGGTGTATGGGTGAAAATTATTTCCTGCACACCCACATTATGAATAATGGTACGCATCCATGTTAAAGCAGCTGTCAGGTTTGTCAATGTGGATAATCCTTCAAATATTTCATGTGTACCTCACAAGTGTGATGATACGTGTCTTGAGGAGGGATTTGTTCTGTCCTGTTTCTCTTGGAGGGGTGTTGTAAACCTGGTGCAAAGGTGTCTGCTCCATGGAAAGCAGAGTAAAATAGCTTTGGACCTTTTCTCGTTAGACGAAAGAAGCATGAGTGAATGGAGTCAGGCTCACACAGACCAAGGGTTTTAGTTTTGCTTTCAGTTGTTGAAGTTCAGGTTTTTGGAGTTGAAGCTGCCAGATACAGCTCTCTCTCAGCTGCTGCAAAAAGCTTTATTTCTGTCTCTGCTGCTAGATTCTTCTGTTGGCGTTCCCTCTCCTGGACTGGAGGAGATAGCAAGTGAGGGAAATCTAGTTTACTGAATTGGTCTTTGTCAAGGGTGTGTTTATAGGATGCTGCTGTATTGGAACAGTTGATAAGTAGTAATGAAATGATAAATTATTTTGTTAAGTATTTCAATAGAGTTAAAGTTATGTCAATTTTTTGATGTATTTTACCAATGGTGCAAGAATATAGTGTGTTTTGCTTAAAGCCTAGCAGTTTGACCAGTGAATCACATCTGTAATACAGTGCCTTACACTTGGCTTTAAATAAGATAATAGTTAGGGTCTAGGTTATCGCCTTGATGTTTTGACAGGGCTTGGTCTGGTGCATAACACATGGTTCAAATTAGAACACATTTAGCAAGAGGGCAGAACAACAGCATACACTGCAAACCCTTCAACATGCAACTAACAGGAGTATGCAAAGATCGAAGCTATAATTAAACCTACTCAAGCACTTTGTCACAGATGAAGAACGAGAAAAACCTTTAATTTTGACAGCAGGATGTACAGCCCAACTGAAGCTGGACGTACATACAGACAACCAGACTCAGGAATGTACTCTGACAAGACAGCACAGCCACCAAGAACTGGTGTCTCCATATTCTGGCAGGTGACAAAGATGTCAAAAGTGAGAGATGTCGACCAGCTGCTTGGTTGCTGTCGGTGATTTTCCAGGCTGGGCCCCATCACTAGCAGCAATGAACTTCAGCAGGTAAGGTGAAGCCAAATCATGCAGCGTGCACACTCTTGGCTCAATGTCAATTTCCAAACGTTTTGCACGATGACCAATAGTCGACAATGTAGAAGTTTCACATTTGGACGAATCTTTTCTCTCCATTCCATTGGCAACTTGATTCTAGCCATCAACTTGCAAGACAATGTCTTCTGAGACTCTGGTGGATTGATCATTCACCACCCCTTTCCAGTCCAGAAGATCTGACTTTGCCTCTTGCCCTGCAACTTAATGTCTAATCACATAACCACCATGCTTGGAATTGCTCTGTCATCAAGTTCATTTTTTAAAATTTAACTTTAATAGTCTGCATCAATTGAACTCAAACTAGAAGCTGCTGCATTTAATTAGCACCTTATGTATTCACTCAAGCCATCACAAACAGTTTAATATGTAGCAGTGCAGCCCGTGTCGGGTTGTGAACACGTGCAAAAACTATTTATTCCAGCAACGACTTCACAAAAGGGACTCTGCAACATCAATCATGCAGTGATTTCACCTGAAAAAGGACACTTCCAACAATGCAGTACTCCCTCAGTACTGCCCTGGATCAGGTAGAATTTGTGCCGAAACTCAAATGTGAGAAAATGATGACTTCAGTCTCACCTGCAACAGGGAACCTCACAACTTTGTCTTCTCTATCTACATGCTATTGTCTCAAGATGCACTGAACATTAAGTCCCTACATTTACATGTTATTTCTCAGTTGAAAGACCATCTTCCAAACCTATACATTTCAAACTGAACAAAGCTGCATTGGTACTAATACCATCATGGAAAACTCATTTCTCACAGTTCACAGGCTGGATTGCTAATATTCATGGGCCTCAGTTAGATTTCTCGGGATCACCTGGGCTCCAGTCATTTCACAAATGCAATGGGATCCTTGCACTTGTATCGGAATGAACAAAAAATAACTGAGGCCTGAAATAACTTGGATGAGCAGTTGTGCAAGTATGGCGCTGATCACACAGTTTCTGGATGTGACAACATAGAATACACTTCAAGGGGCAGAAACAAGAACCTTGAGGCTGCTGCGAGAACAGAGACCAGGTAACAATAATGTGTGGCAGCACAGATTGTCAGAAACAATGCTCCTCAAAATTGTACTTTGGATATTCAATGTGAGAGGGAATTGACCCCTGCACTAGGCTACTCTGGATAGCCCATGTCACCAAGGTAAAGAAGCCAGGCCTTCGCTTCGCTGTTTGATTACTTTCAAAGGAACATTGAACTCTAATCAGCCTATGATGATCCGATGATCCGGAGACAATCTGATGCTGATGGTAGCAGCATCTTTCGAGAAAGTGACTCAGTATCAGCCCCACTGCCCACTGACTGAAATTCTTGGAAATGAGCAAACATCAATTTGAATGACAGTGAATCAACCTTCAACACATCAGAAATTACAACACAATGTAGTGCAGAAGGCCATTCAGTCCATCAGATGCAAGTGGAAAGCATGACAGAGATCTGGCCTACATTACCAAGTTGTCACTTGAAGTGAAAATGTTACAATGACTCTAACAAAAAAGTTCCCTCAAACTTTTAACAATGATTTACATGATTATACAACATTCAGTGCACATTTTAATTTAGTTTGAATTATCTTCCACAAGCACACCACCCCCAGTAGATTAGTACTCACAAGTCAAACACAAGGTAGTGAAATCCTTCTTCCGATATGCTGTCATGGAGACGAACTGAAAAAAAAAGTTTTCCATTAAGCTTTGGCAATTCAAACATTTGACTTTATAAGCAATGCTCATTGAACACTTAAATAAAGGGGAAAGCTGTTACTGCATGTCACACAAAATATGATGAGTATAAGCACGGGAATGAGAAGTCTTTCTGGCCATGCCCTTCATACTTGACGGCGTTTATCGCACTAATTATCCTGTTAGTTTGTCCACGTGACTTTGGTTCCTCACATACTCTACATATTGCCACAGTTTATGACTGATTTATAAGTGAAACTATATCATTTTCCTCACTTGTGTGATATTTCCTAAACTTATTATGAGACCAATAGCAATGTGCAATGAGCAGTAGGCTATTCACCCCTGAAATTTGTTTCCCCATTCTAATAAGTCACAGTTAATTTTTCTCTCCCAGACAATGTATCACTTGCCCACGGTCCATATCTCTTTGTACTTTGCCCACAGATTTATCAAGCTCAGTTGCGAAAACTTGTTTCAGCATCCACAGGTTTTTAAGGATGGAAATTTCAGAAATTTCTCTTGTATTAATTGGTTTTATCCTAAAACAGTTTAACTTTAATTTTCAGATAACACCATCTTAGTCTGGATTCTCTCACCCAAAGTAATAGCTTCTTCATGTCCAGTCTACTGGACATGAATTTGATCATCCCCCAAATCCACTATGCTCAAGGGAAGCTTATGCAGCATGTTCTCAAAATTCTGATAAAGCTGTCCTATCGTATTGCTGTCAACAAATGCGGTCAAGATGTGATATCTAACAAGGTTGCTATAATCCAAATGAGATCTCATTCAGGCTCTACACAGGAGAGGCATCACCTCTTCACCTGGAATTCCAAATCCCTCAAGTGACTTTCAAACTTACCTGTCCAATGTCAATAACAATATATCCGCAGTGATCGTTGGCTTACAATTCCTGGACCTGACGAGCTCAAATTCCAAACAAGAGTGGGCCAACTGCAGGATATGTTCATGTCTTGCATTCTTCAACAAACCAAGGACTCACACAAAGGGAAAAATATACAAGATTTTGATCAAATCTGCTGCTTTCTACCATCGTCTAGTTTTTGTTTTTGCTCAGGAAGTTAGAGAATCCAAGGGCATAGCACCTGACCTTGAGATTTTGGTGACTCAAACACCCACTGACTGCAGTATCCAAGCAACTCAACCATTTAAGAAGCAACTGCTGTCGAGGACTGTGGATGTTCAACACCCGAGTACATTCAAGACTGAGGCTGACTGATTTTGGGTACAGAAGGGAAACCAAGGAATATGGGGAATATGGCAAAGCAAGCTTCAGGAATAACATGGCTTATTCGTGCACCTAGTTGTTCTGTAAACCCACAGACTGATGCTGAGTCCACAACACATTCTTGTTGTTTGACCTCGGAATTGGCACAGAATAAATATGGCATTTCTGAGCAAGAGGTTAGGGAAGGGGAAGAGTTGTGCATTCAATAAATTAAACCATATGCCCAGTCTGCGGACAGAGTCTTTCAAATGTGGTGACACAAAGCAGAACACATCCACTTTAGTCACCCCTCTGGTTTGAGAGATTGTGTGAGAAATGAAAACACGTCATTTGAGAAACAAAATTATATTGCAGGTTCTACACGCAATGAACCATGGATTAGAATTTGCCAAACTCATTTGCCCCTTGATTCTTTTTGACCAATGAGGGATAAATACAAACCCAAGTCATGGAGGCAATGGCAGTGTCTTTAGCCTAATAGTCTTCATATAAATGTGTCTCACTCTTAAGAATGCATTTCGTCTTCAGGGCGTCCCAAATGGCTTTACAAGCATTGAACTCCTTTTTACAGCAAGTTATACAGGATGCAGAGCAGCCACATCTCAAAAACAGCAGTAATAGATAATGTGCCATTTTTGTGACACTGCTTAAGGGTCAGCATTGGCTTGGACACAGGGAAACTCTCCAGTTCATCACTGAGCAAATTCGCCCACATTAGGGGTTAAATGGAGCCCAAATTCCACATCTCAAATATAAAACAGCTCCCCAATGAGTGCAGCACAAACTCAGTCCCGCAAAAACGGATTTCCTTGTAGATTTTATGCTGAAGACTCGAGAGTGGGATCTGAAGTCATAACTGCCTAATTCAGAGGCAGGACTGCTCCCCACAGAGCTATAGTCAAGCTCCTGTTTCTGCTCCAGTATGTGCATGTTCGCCTCCAAGTGAGCAATAAAAATCCTGCTAAGATTCTCTATTTCCTTCTTGTTTCCATGGACACCGTCTCATGCTGCAATTCTAATGGATAGCGCACGTTACCACCAAAATGCCTTTCAGATGGGACGAGATCAGACTGTGAAGCATTGACCAACCTCTGAATGACCCATTCGTGTCCTACGGAATATTTGGTACAACCAGCTCGGCAAAAGCACAGAATTTTCATGTGTTGGGTTCAGAAAGATTACTGGAGTCTATGCAGGTCTGCTGGCAATCTGCTTTTAAATTATTTAACAGCACAGCTTGACTGCGCTGAAGGGAGGAGGAAGGGAATCAGTATTCCACAGTCAGACCTTAGTGATCTCAAATGAGAGAGGAACAACGTAGCATCCTACTCCATGTAAACAGATGGGACAATGCAAAAGGAACACAGATTTCACACATTGATGTAAATACTGATTTAATATCACTACAGCAAAGCGTGACCACGACCATGTATAAACAACTGCACCGGCAGTTCTCTTCAGGGTGTTAATTTCCACAATCTCTTCCTGATGGAGCACCAAATTATCATTCCTGGCTGTGCGCATGAGACAGGGCTTTTTTTTGTTGGCAAACAAGAACATTCCACATAGTACTTCATGACAGATTACCAAAGGTGTCTCGAGCCATCAGTCATCATCAGAGAGGGGTGAGCATGAGATGCAGAATGAAGTCACTGGCTTTTACCAAGAAACAGACTCAAAAAGGATTCACTACACAAGTGGGAAATATGAAACACCTCATAATCTTTTAAAAAACTGACCAAATTAAAAGCTGCAACTATCCAAGGCTTTTGAGCCTACACTTAGGCCACAGACTTCCCAGCACAGCGCCAAGGTGGAAGTTGGAGAACATTAAACTCATTTCTTTCCTCTCCACTTAATCATCAACAGGGTAACAAAATCCCCAGGAACACAAGGTGGAACAATCTTTTACTCTGTTCAATGTTGGTGTTAGTCCAGGAGGGTCTCAACTGCAGCACGAGGGCTAAACAAGATCAACAATTAGATGGTTGTAAAAATAATGTTGCCAAGGTCTCAGCCATCGCGAGTCAAAGCAATTAAAGCACCAAGGAGACCATCTGGCCCTTCATGCTTCTGATGGGTCCCTCAAGGAGCTAGCCAATTAGTCACACTGCACTGTCATCTTCCCATGTCAAGAAAGCACCCTGTTCCTTTTCCCAAGTTATTGCTGATACTGCCATTTCAGGCAATGCATTCCAGTTTCCAGTGCATTCAGGCAAAAACTAACTACTGAGCGTGCATTGCACTTCTCGTTCTTTTGCCAATTACCTTCGATCTCTATCATCCAGTTTAAGGTCCTCCTACCACTAGAAGTACTTCTCTCCTAAATTAGTCCATGAAATTTTTGTGTTATTCTTTTGATGAATCTCACCTTAACCTTCATTGCTCTAAGAAGGGCTCCAGCTTCTCTTGTCACACTCTCATCCCTGCCATCGTCTGTGCACAGTCAGAAGTCACACTGTGCTCGAGTACGCATGACAATAAAACCTAATTCTAAATTCTGAAGTACATGCTGTTCTTCAAGGTGGTAATGATCGTGGATTTAGAAGGATCCTCAATGAATTTCTGCAGTGCACCTTCAAGATGGTACATACTACTGTTAAGCTGAATCATTGGTTGAGGGAGTGAATGCTTGTACATGTGCTGCCAGTCAAGTAGGCTGCTTTGTCCTGGATGGTGTCAAGATTCTTGAATGTTGTCGGGGCTGCACCCATCCAGCCACGTCGAGAGTATTCCATCACACTCCTGTCTTGTGTCTTGCTGATCGTCAGGCATCAGGGAGTCAGTAGGCAAGTTACTTACTGCAGAATTCCTAGTTTATGACCTGCTTTTGTAGCCACTGTATTAGTGGCCAGTACAGTTCCATTTCTGGTCAATGGTGACCCATTGGCCATTGACAGTGGGGGAGTCAATAACAATAATGCCACTGAATGTCAATGATTCTCTCTTGCTGGAGTCCATCATTGCCTGGCATTTGTGTGGGGTGCATGTTACTTGACAGTTTTCAACCCAAACCTGGATATTGCCCATTTGTTGTTGCCTTTGAACATGACTGTTTCAGTATCTGTGGAGTTGCAAATCGTGCTGAATACTGTGTAATCGTACCCCACCTCCGACTTGACGATGGAGGAGAAGTTAATGGTGAAGCTGGTTGGGCTGAGAACAATACCCTGAGGAACGCCTGTAGAGATGTCCTGGAGCTGAGATGACTGACTTCCAATGACTCAGTCATCCTGCTTTGACTTCAACAAACAGAGATTTCACTCTCCATGATTTTCACTGCTTCTAATTTTGCCAGGGTTCTTTGATACCACACTCAGTTGACTGCAGCCTTGATGTCAAGTGCTGTCACTGGCACCTCACCTCTGGAATTCAGTTCTCTTGCCCACCTTTGAATTAAAGCTGTAATGAGGTTATGAGCCGAGTGGCCCTGGCAGAACCCAAACTGGGCATCAATAAGCAGGTTATTGCAAAACAAATGCTGCTTGATAACACTGTCGATGACACCTTCCATTTTATTACTGATGATTGAGAGTAGAATTATGGGGTGGTAATTGGCTGAGTTGGATTTGTCCTTCATTATGTAAAGGACATACTTGAGCAAGTTTCCACATGCTCTAGAAGATGCCCAGGTTGTAGTTGTGTTGCACAGCTAAGCCAGGGGCATGGGAAGTGCTGGAGTACAAGTTTTCAGTACTATTACTCAAATGTTGTCTCGACCCACAGCCTTTGC